TATATTTTATATAATTTTAATATTTTGTTCACTTTATAATCGCCTTCAGCCTAAACACTGAGCATCTCCTGGTCAACCTTTAGCACCCACATTTGTTTATATTTTCATATTGTTTCCATTGCCATTTCCCATGCACCTGACCAGCTTAACCAGCTCTCCAGCTAGCCCAGCGGAATGTCAAGGCTCTGTATAGAGGGTCCCTTCGCTCACGTTTGCCCTTTTTATTTGGAAGGCACAAAAATCTCGTTCGTAATATTTGCCACTTGTGTATGCAACCACAGTAGCCACATGCTGCATGCCACAACAACCAGGCAACCCTTTTGCCTTGCCTCCCTTCCCTACAACATTTTTTTTATGCAATTTCAAGTTCTCGTAAAGTTTTTGGGCAATTACTAAACTTCCCGTGGCCTAATTAAGGCCTGTTAAATGTTTGAAGAGGGGCAGCAGCTGCTGCGGCACGCCCACTGTTCAAATTGCATTAGCTGTGCTAAGCATATGTAATTAATTGAATTGAGGCTAAGACGAAATGTTGAATAATCAAAAACTCAAAACTCAAGGCGTAGATGGAGTAAACAGTCTCCAGATTAATAATGAAATATTTGACTACCATTATAGCAGGCTGTGACACATACACACACATACAGCAAACAATACACAAAGCAGACAAATGAGATAATTGCTTGATGGGACAACTAGCCACAAGCTAATGCTGGGTAAAGTTTGTCTGATTGAGTGGGTGTTTGTATATGGATGTATATGTATATGTTAATGTGTATTTGTGTGTGTATATTCTACGATTTGACAAATGGTTACCTCGTTACTCACCTTGCTGTCTGGATTGCCGGTGTGCAATTTAAGCTCCGACTCGATGCCATTCAAAATAATTGAAATATTCTGTTCGTCCTCATCGCATTCTGTGTGAGTGGGCGGCGACTATTAGAGTGTCTTTAGTTGTCAGGTGTCGGAGCCTAGCACTCACCTGGACCATCGTAAGCATTAATGCAATCGGAGGTGCGAAACTGTGAGACGAGCGCCTGTTTGCCCACGCCCGCTGAGCCGAGCATCTCGACGCGATAGAACTCCACGGGCTGATGATTATCCTGGCCGGCATTGTCATTGCCGTAGCCATTGCTGCTGCTGCCGCCGCCGCCGCCTCCTCCATTGTAATTGGTGCCCAAGCCAAGGCTGCTGCCGCCACCGCCGCCGCCATTCATGCCGGCCATGGCATTGCGCGCATGCATGGGGCTAATCGGTGCGAGGCTGTTGCTGCGCGAGCGGCGTCTGCGAAAGGAGTCGCCTCGATTGATGATGCCTGCGGACAGATGTAAGCTGTGTTACCAAAAAAAAAAAAAAAAAAGGAAAACAGAAAAAAGAAAAACCACAAATCTGAAAAAGCAACTGGTCTAAATACTGCCGGTGTGGCTTCGGAAGATGCGGCGCCCGCGCCACGTGCGCCCATATGTTGCTCATACGCCACGTTGAGCCGAGCTAAAATTACAGTTGCCAGCCGCAGGCCAACTACAACAACAGAAACAACAACAATGCTTAATCTAGCCTTTGTATGCAGCTTTGCATCTCCCCCNCCATTGCTGCTGCTGCCGCCGCCGCCGCCTCCTCCATTGTAATTGGTGCCCAAGCCAAGGCTGCTGCCGCCACCGCCGCCGCCATTCATGCCGGCCATGGCATTGCGCGCATGCATGGGGCTAATCGGTGCGAGGCTGTTGCTGCGCGAGCGGCGTCTGCGAAAGGAGTCGCCTCGATTGATGATGCCTGCGGACAGATGTAAGCTGTGTTAAAAAAAAAAAAAAAAAAAAAGGAAAACAGAAAACAGAAAAACAACAGAGCTGAAAAAGCAACTGCTCTAAATGCAGCGTGTGTGGCTTGGGCAGATGCGGCGTATGCGCAACGTGCGCCCATATGTTGCTCATACGCCACGTTGAGCCGAGCTAAAATTACAGTTGCCAGCCGCAGGCCAACTACAACAACAGAAACAACAACAATGCTTAATCTAGCCTTTGTATGCAGCTTTGCATCTCCCCCTTCTGCCTATCACTATCTCTGTCTCTTTCTCTAACACTAACATGTTGCCCGTTTTTGCGCCTTTCTAAATGCTGCTGCAGCCAGTTAGCCAGCCAACCAGCCAGCCTGGCCCTTTCCCCACAATTTCAATATATTTCGTGTTCTTTTCGTGGTTTATTTGAAATGGTTTTTGTATGCAGCTGCGCTGCTGTTCAGCTGTTCAGCAGCGAGCTGACAGCTAGATTGAATAGAGGCTTTAAATTTAAAAATTCATTAGCTGAAATATTTTGGCATGCGCTCTTATCTAAAACATTTCAGGCAAGCACATTGAGGTAGGCAATTCGTATGCCAAAATTTATATACTATACACATATGTATATATATATTTCAATTTGTGGTTTGCAAACAAACAGAAGCAGAAACAGAAACGAAGCAAAGGGCATGCTGAAATGTCAACTACTAAATGTTTGCTTGCTTATATAAATAATTTAGTTTTGATTGCTCGACTGAGTCGAGTCTCTTGAGTCTCCTAATAGACATGCATAATTGTGCATGTATTAATTAATATTGTTATGCCAATGCGTTGAGGTGGTGAATAAGGCAACAGATCTCATGTAGAGCATCAAGGTATTTAGTTAACAATCAATTTGTCGAGAGCTGCTGCATGCCCCATGGGATTTAATCAAGAACTAGGAGAAAGCCAATGCAAGCTTGAATAGCTGAAAGAGTGAGAGTTGAAGCGGGTATGTGAAGGACTTGTATTTTCATTGTATTGTCCTGTAAGGAATTAGCCATGATATGCAGTTAAATCATAAAACATAGTTTGAAATATATATTTAAATATGTATATATGTATATGTATATGGAGTCCATTTGTCTATATGTATAATATATACAAATGGACTCCATATACCCTTCATTAAACAGCCTTACCTAGTCTCTAGGGTATACAAACCCATAATTTGGCTAATTAACAAATATTAGCATAAATTAAGTGAGTTGCTTGGCCCTTTTCCCAGTTGCGGCATTTCAGTAAATCCTGTTTATGTTTCTCATGGCGATCGAAATGATATTTAAGTGAAATATATATATCAATCTATTATTATAGTTGAAAGTCGAATAGCCTTTCTAGATGGAAATATGCTCAGAGATATGTATATATATTTTTTTCAATGTCGCGTAATCAACCCAATGATATATAAATTTATATATTTATTCATTAGCAAAACCGCAACAAAATATTTACATTTGACTTGTGCGCCGCTGTTTATGGCGTTTGTTTTGTGTACATTTAAATGTCATAAATAGATTTATTGCCCGCTTTATTGCATTCAGTTATTTCTGTATTTTGGCGAATGAGTGAAACAGATTTTTGCTCAAGCAAACGCAAACGCTGCAGTGCTCATTAATTGTGTAAATTGAATTAATTGCCAAAATGGCAATAAAAATTTGCAAAAACCCATCAGCATATGCTCGTTTGCGGATTGAAAAGGGCATATTAGCTTTGAGCACTGGATAGGTGGATAATTAGATAGCTGCAATTGTAGTTTAAGGACTAGCAGTATAAACATATATGTATTTATACTTCGATAGACCATAGTTAGTTATGTATAAAAACATTAAGTATTTAGTATTATTTATCTGCTCTGTAGATCATTTAAGAAATGATGGATCGTAAATAACTGTTCACCGTTTTATTTCTCACGCTCTGCTCAAGCGAGAAATGTATTCACTTTATAGAATTACCTTCTATGATATTAAAAATCTATAAAACAAATTTCTTAAAAATAAATATCTCACTATTGACAACTTGAAATAACTTTCTATATATATTGTTCTTCAGTTATTTCCCAACAATAAGCGAGTATTATGCAGTCACGTACAATGCCCACACTCGTTCATCATTGGAAAGCTATGAAATTTTCTGGCTGGGTGGCAATAGGAACACAAAAGAATCGGAAAAATGATGTAGAATTGTGCGATTTTTGCGAAATATTTCATTTGTGTTTCCCTACACCAAATAAAAGGTGAAAATTGCTGGTAATAAAATCTTTAGCTTTGATACGAATGGGCCTTTCTAGCTGCGTGTGTTTGTTACAATAAATATTTGTACAAATGCCGAATGTTTAAATTTAGCTGAGCAAATCATCGAGTGTTAAGTTATTCACAAGTTATTTATGTTTCAGATCCACCTAGATGAACTCGAAAATGTAATCAAAAATAGTTGAATTCTGACTAACTAATAAAAAAAAGGAAAACATTTTCGAAAAAGAAGAAGATACTAAAAATGAATTTCTTTTCTTTTGTTTGGCTTTTGGATTTCTAAATGGATTTTCTTTTCTTGTTTCAATCAGCGTTTTTCGTTCGCTTTTGATGTGCCTTTAAATTATTATTTTAGCTATTTTTTCGATATTCCAAATTGCCTTTTTCGCACATTTTTTATTGATGAATAACTATTTGAGAAAATAAATATAAATTTTCATATGCCGATTGATTTACAGATCGATGAGTGTTGCACGAGATGTTGCACATGTTTTTGCAATTGTTTGACTTTATCAGTTTGGGGTATATGGCGTGCTTTCAAGGTTGCTGCTGGGCATCCCATAGTAGACTATGTGTATACCCTGCACTGAACATGAGAGAGCCAATGGCAATGCAGGGGGTATATGGAATATAAATAGAGACATGCGAGTGCACGCATAGTATAGCTACAGTTAAAATAATAAACATAGCTGAGATTATAATGGGTTTATAAACAAAGTGGAATGTAAATACGAATGTATAAAAATACAAACGGATAACGATCGAATAGAATAACTGACGATTGGGCTCTGGATATATATATAGATCTATAGCTGGTAAAATATAGAGATAAAAATGTCACAAATGTAAACACATATTAAAATGTCTTTATGTACAGAGTATCACTAATGAAAACGAATAAAGTGTATTCTTAGATAATGTTAGTTCTCTCTCTATCTTATCATTTCTTTGATCCAGAGTATATTCATATATCTCTTACATTCCTTAGTTTTATTTTTACTTTTGGCCACTTTTATCTGAACTCAAGACCAACCCCTTTATAGAATAACTGCTAGTTGAGCATTTTCCCTCAGTTAAACTTTCTATTCTATAATTCATTTAGCTCGGCTTGCAGCCAATTGTGAATTGTGCCCAGCTGTGTGAACGGCAACTCAACCAAGTCATATGCTCGCGATGCGCTCAGACACAATACATATACACACACGCGTAGGTACGCGGGCCACGCCCACCCACATTGCGCGCCCACTGAATGCAGAGATTTATACGGCAATGGAACGTGCGTGGACATCATTCAATTATAATTCAATTTACACAGCGAGCGTCATCATAGCCAGGCGCAAAAAGTCCATAAGGCTCCCAAGCCCCACTTCATAAGCCATTTCAATCTTGAGCGCACAGCGAGAGCCGAAGAAAGAGAGAGTGGGAGAAAGAGAGACGGATAGACAGACAGACTGGCACACTCATGCAAACGCATTGTGGGCACTTTCGGACAGCTTTTCATTGAATTTTCCACTGGTTGGCGCTTCATTGGCTGACGACGACGGACGGACGACGGACAGCTGACACACGCCAGCATTTCAATTAATCAGCTACCAGCAAACCGTGCTCGCCTCTCACGCACTTCAATCATGTGTGGGCTCTGTAAATTTTCTTTATTTTCCCTTTGCATTTTCCTCATGCTGTTTTAAATCATGTTTAAATTCAAACTGTAAACATAATTGATGTGGGGGTTTTGCTTGCTTTACGGTTTGGTGAATCGTGCCCAAGTTGAGTGCGTATTAAGTTTAATTAAATTTGTGCACATGACGCATTCAATACAACCGCAAGGGCTCCACAAACACACGCAGTCCCTCTCCCCCTCTCTGTCTGTCTGTCTGTGTCCCTCTCTCGAGGGAATAACTACTTGCACATGCAAACATGTTCATGTATTTGAAAGCAATTTAGCTGAGAAATGCTGGCAACTTCATTGAATTTTAATATGCAGCGTGTTTCATATGCCATTTGTAACATCTCACGTCTACCCTCCCTTCTCGCTCCATCGTCCTTCAGCATTTCATTCCACCAGAGTCTGACAATTTAACGCACTCAACTCAAATTTATAATATATAATATATACATGCAAATGTATGCCAGGAGACAGTCACAGTCGGTTACAAAAACGCATGTGAAATCGTTCGACTGCCAGCTGAATACCCTAATAAGCATTAGGCTAAGATCGAATAATAATGGTTCAATTTAAATATTCATAGATGCTATTAAAAAAAAAATATATATATATATATATATAT